CGGGACTCAAACCGCGGTTGACTACATGGGAATCTAGCAGCATAGCTATTACGCCAGCTGCTGGTTCCTGCAACTGACTTCTTGGACATAGCATAATGTTCTTAAGGCTCTTGTGGCATTTATGCATACTTTACTCCTGTTGTGACACTCCACATTTGGGTTGTTTCCACCTTTTGCTCTTTTTTAATTCTTTGCTAGATTTTTTGCTATAGACCATGTGCACTTGCTGGAGAGAGAGAGAGAGACACACACAGACAGACAGACAGACAGAAAATGATAAATAACCCTGCAGGGGAGATGGGCATGCCACAATCCCTTCTCCTCTCAGTATCCTGGGCATGTACACACATGCGCCAGACATGAGTTTTAAGCCACTGGGTCCAGGACTCAAACCATGTTTGACTACGTGGGAGTCCAGCTACATAACCAACTGCTGATACCCCCCACCATTTGCTCTTATGACAAAGCTGCTGTTGAGTATTGGTGTGGGAGTTTCTATGTGGACATATATTTCTACTCCCCTGTGGAGATACGAAGTGGCTTGCTGGGTCACATGGCCGCTCTCAGTTTACCATTTCGAGGAACTCCCAGGTTGTTTTACAAATAGCTACACCATTTATTTTCCCACCAGCAGTCTAGGAGGCTTCCCATTTCTCCACATTCTCTCACTTTTTATCTGACTTATTAATTCTGGCCATCCTAGAAGATGTGCAATGCTATCACAGGGGGGTTTTATTTTCATTTTCCTGACTATAAATGAGGTCAAGGATCTTTTCATGTTCTTTACTTTAACTGACATATTGGGAAGGTGAGGAGGTCAAGTGTACTTGACCTACAATATTTAGCTAGAAACATAATAGCTGATTTTAAAAGTCTAACAGAAAAAAAAGTACTTTGTTTTCTGCTAAATATTTGAAAATGTTTATACACCAAGCTCAAGTTTTATCAGTATACAGTTTTCCACGTTAAACTGTGTGATCAAGAGACTGCGATGTTGGGTACTGAATCTTTTCTGTGACATTCTTTCATGTGTGGAGCAGGGGGAGAGATTTACTTTGACTCCTCAAGGTTTACCAAAACCAGAGCAAAATTGATTGCAAAACCCTATAGAGAGTTATATTTTTCAGTCACTGATGCTGTGTACAGTGTTGGGGGTCAGCATGTTCCTTGTGTGGTAAACAGCAAAGGGAGTGAAAGCACTGACCCAGGCGTGCAGCATATCTTGTAAAAGAAGGAATGCAAGGTGTTTAAATGGACTTTGTGGGGCACCAGCAGTTAGCGTAATGGCTATGTCGCTGGACTCCCATGTAGTTGACTGCGGTTCGAGTCCAGGACCTGGTGGCTTAAAACTCACGCCGGGCACGTGTGCGTGCGTGCCCAAGATCCCGAGAAGAGAATGGAGGAGAAGGGATTGCGGTGTGGCCATCTCCCCGGGGAGTGATTTCTCGCTTTCTGTCTCTCTTTCTCTCTCAGTCTGTCTGGTGAGGGCATGCGCCCTATAGCAAAAACCTCTCCAAAATAAATAAATAAATACATAAATAAAAATAAATGGACTTTGGCACTTTAATCTCTGTAGAAGCAGTGGGGCATCACACATGCCATGATAACTGTAGAAGTGGGGGTTTGGGCACATGGGGAGTTATATCTTTTGAGAGGTAGTTTTTTTTGTTTGTTTGTTTGTTTTTCTTTTATTTTGGAGAGGTTTTTGCTATAGGGCACGTGCGCTCCCAGAAAAACAGAAACAGACAGAGAGATAGAAAGCGGGAAATCACCCCCAAGGGGGAATGGCCATGCCGCAGTCCCTTCTCTTCCATTCTCCTCTCAGAATCTTGGGCACGCATGCACACGCACCCGGCATGAGTTTAAGCTGCCAGGTCTGGGACTTGAACCATGGTTGACTACATGGGAATCCAGCGACACAGCCATTACGCTAGCTGCTGGTCTCTGTTTATTATTTTTTATAATAAAAAAATTCTAGGGTCAGCAGATGGTATGGTTGTTAAGATGCTGAATCCCAGACGGTTCAAGTTCTGGTCCCAGCAGCCTAAAAACACACTGACATGTGTGTATGCAAAAAATCCTGAGAGAATGGAGAAGGGATTACAGTGTGGCTATTCCCCATCGTGGGTGATTTATCATTTTCCTACTCTTTTTGTCTCTCTACTGCAAGAACAAGTGCTCTCTGGCAAAAAATCTAAAACAAATTCTAAAACTAAGTGATTGGGTGCCTTATGATGAGAGAGAGAGAGGGTCATAAGGATTGTCTGGATCAGTTCATGGAAACTACTGTTTAGTATTCTATAAATAAAGACACTTACTGAAATGCAATTATTTTAGTCTGGGTGCTTTGAATGAAAAGATAAAGGAGGGATGAATACAGTATTTTGAAGGTTATTAGATAAAAGTTTCCTCCAGATGTCTTCTAGTTCCTGTCAGTATTGAGTCTACCACATCTCTGAGCAAGTGGAGATGGTCTAAGTTTGAGGAAAGTGAAGATGTTTGAAATAGATTTAAGAACATGGAAGAGAGTGGACTAAGCAAGTGGTGTAAAGATGGTTCAATATTTGCAAATCCAGGGACCAGCAGTTAGCGTAATGTCTATGTCACTGAACTCCCATGTAGCAGATCGCGGTTCGAGTCCTGGACCTGGTGGCTTAAATTCACGCCGGGCACGTGTGCGAGTGTGCTGAAGATCCTGAGAGGAGAATGGAGGAGAAGTGATTGCGGCGTGACCATCGCCCCAGGGGTTGATTTCTCGCTTTCTATCTCTCTGTCTGTCTCTGTCTTTCTGGTGAGCGCAGGCACCCTATAGCAAAATAAGAAAAAAAAAAAAAGACAAACAAAAAACCTCTCTAAAAAAATGATATATTTGCAAATCCATAAATATGATCCCACCATATCATCTCTAAGCTCCATTGGTTTTGCTCACTGCTAGTTAACATGTAGAAATTGTTCATGAGTGAAGAGTATTCAGGTAGTCCTGGATATGAGCATGAATTTATGTTGGTGCCACAAATCAAATAGTGATTGCTCACTCATAAGGTATTTCTAGAAAGGCAGAGATTCCTAGGAGTTGCCAGGTATAAGGAATAAAGGAAACTGGAAGAGGTTCATTTGATGTGCAAACTCTTAAATGTTGTTTACCTTATAAACCATGAAGTCTACCACCAAAAGTTTAGTGGATACATTAGTAAGGGGAAAAACTAATGAAAAAGAGTTGAATAATTAATAGATTAACAGCATATACAGAAAGCAGGGAAGGTAAGGCCAAAGGGTAGAATGTGAGGCTGATTTCTCCAGATGTCCCAGGTGTTCCTGGTGATAAGTTCTGTAATGTAGAAGTAAGTGACCTAGAGTGAAGGGGAAGGACCCTATGATAGGACACAAGAGGAGTTCAGAGGGGACAGAGGAAATGGGAGACCATGTCACTGGCTAGTACCCACATGAATGTTGGGGTCCTCTGATTCCCACCCTGTGACTTTCCTGGGAATTTCACACAGTCTGTATTCATTCTTCAACCCTAACCTTCCGACTCTTCAGGTCAACGGTATAATGTAGGACAAGAGTTTGGAGTGTGGCAGAGGGGGCTCTATGGACATCTGTCTAGCTTTTGTTTTTATTTTGACATCCAGCTCAAAGTTTATCCAGAAATATTTCTGAAAAAAAAAAAATCTCATGGGTCCTCTAGGAAACTCACCTACTAGTTGAGTCCTGGACTGTGAAAGTGGAGTTGCCTTCCCTCCAGAACTGTAATTAAAGTTGATATGTGTGCTGTCTTGGCCAAAAAGAGCATTTTATGGAGGTCCACTGTGAGATTCCAGTGCATTGTTCAAAACTAACCTGTGGGTCAGTAGCTGCAGATGTTTACACTGGGGAAGCTGTGTCATGGTTCTCCTAAGCCCATGAAGTTCACAGTTTTCACGTCCTTCCTAATAGGAGACATGAACTCCCTATGGACAAGATTCTGCATGTGGTCATTAAGCACGGTTGAAGGCAGGCACCGTGATCGTCTTTCCCAGAGTGAGGGCTGCCGTGCCTGACAACAGCCCTGTTGCCATTGTTTTAGGACTCAAGGAACAGCCACATGGACACCTCTGTCTCAGTCAGCTATACAATTCCCTGAGCTTTGGGGAAGGGATGCCTGGATCTGACTGGGAAAATGGGGAGCAGGATAGGATTATAGTGGGGTGGAGTATTAACCTTTGTTCTACCAGTAATGCCATTTTTCCCCACTCCATCTTTTTCCTATGTTCCTATTATAAGGCAGCTTTTCTGTGCCTTCAGCTTTATTTTGCCTTGGGAGGTAGGTGCCTGCCTGACCACATTCCAAACACTGATAACCTAGTGATCCTTTAACTCTTAAAAAAAGTGTCATTCCATGCAGCTTGAAGATATACCTGAGGAGAGGAACCACTTTTGCTAGATGACTTTTCAGTAGGGAAAACTCAGCAGTGACGTCAAAACATGCTACCACACCAGGCTGGTATCACTGCTGAAATAACCTCAGCATTTCAGCTAAGGCTCGCCACCTGTGTGATTCTCTGCTCATGGATGTAACTGTCTTTGACCTCTCTTCAAATAAGGAAGACCTCTCTACTGTAGTGCTGCAGATGTTATGAATTTATCAATGAGAAAATTCAGGCTGTCATACTGTGTTATTAAGGTTAAGCTAACAGTTGGGAAGATGATCTCATCCCCTCAAATTTCATCAGGGAGGGAAGGAGCTTTTTGAGGCACATGATTTTGCAGCAAGATCTCCTGGAGACTGGCCCTCTTCTAGAAGCCGAAAGAGGCAAATAGTAAGAGCCTAATAAATCACTTCCTTTCCTTTAGTCCAAGCCCAGGTTTACTCAGACCTGGTGCCCCCAGCGAAGAACACACACATACACACACATACACACACACACACACACACACACACACACACACAAATTACTGCTCTTATTGGCGATATTATTGAGGTAATCTATATCTTCAACAACAAATGCACTATTTGTGGAGAAGGGTTCAATATTTTTAATAAGGAGTGAGAATATTCAAACAGTAGTGTGTAAGAATTTTACTTTTTAAATGTGAAGAAGGAATCTCTCGAAATGTATAGGAAATCCATCAGCAAGGAGCCTTCAGGAATGGAAAGGGCGGCTGAAGGCACCTGGCTGACTTGATGCCTTCTTGGATGGGCACATGCTTCTTCGATGGGATGTGGTCTCCCTGTGCGAAATGGATAGGAAGCGCCTGTGACACTGTACCTGGTCCTTTAGTGCCACGATTCTCTGCGGCTGTCTGTTTTGCTCTCGGACCCGAGTAGTTTCATTTGGATTACTCAGGACAGATGAGGCAGCTCCCTGGCTACAGGACTTAGTACCTGTGACTTTATAGGAAGGAGCCCTGTAGTCAGAGTGGCAACTCTGAGTGGGCTTTTCCCGGATGTGCAGTTCTGCACTGTGCTGAGTTTGATCAATTTTCACAGGAGAGGAGAGGGCCTCTCCGGGACAGGTGCTTTGAATTTTGTATCTGCAGCCTTGTTTCTTCTCAAAGAACTTGCTAGTTTCTGCTGTGTATTTCTGAGCTTTGGTGGTTCCTGACAAGGCAACTGCCCTTTTCACCAGGCCTTTGCTGTGTGGTGATGAGAGGGAGCTGCCCTTTTCCTGGGAACTTTCTTGCCCCTTGTCCTTCATGTTTGTACAAAGCCATTGGAAAAAGTGCTTCATTTGCTTTCTAAAAAGGCTTTCAATAGGAGGCTGCCTTTTCTTTGTTGGGGATGGCAAAGATTTATTCGCTTGTGTCTCTGGAAACACCTTGCCTTGAGGAAGATGACTTGTCCTTCTAAGTCCCGATGGATCCAAGATTGCACCCCCTCCACCCAGCTCTCCTTTGGGTACCAGAGGGCTCACTCTCCTCCCATCTCGTTTAGGTTTCTTAATGCGGGTGTTCAAGAAGTCACGATTAGGGGCCCGGGTCTCCTGTGGCTGGTCCAGAAAGACCCTTGTATCATCCAAGGGGACAGGAAGCATCGGGGAAGGTGCCACGTCCCTGCTGGAAACATCCTGAGCAGGATTCAGAGCAGCCTTGTCAGGCAGGCTATCAACAGCAAAGGACATGTCCACTGAGCAGGCATGAGCCTGGCTCTGCTCCCTGATCTCTAAGTTAAATTTTAGCTCCGCCAACAGATGATTTTTAAAGTCTGATGACTTCGGATCTTGGAGATCTGACATTCCTTGAAGGGAGCTTTCAGTAGTCTGGGTATTTTCTACTTTACTTAAGTTCCTCTCCATCATCGGGAAACCTTCTGATCCACAGGTTGTCAATATGTCATTACATAGTGATTGACGACCACACAGCTCTTTTGCCTTGAATATCTCCCTAGACATGTTGGATAGCAAAAAGTGTTCTAGATTCTTTAACCTTTTGTCATGAGAATTTTCTTCTGTATCAGTGGAATGCTCTCTGTTATCCTTGAGCTCAAGTTCAGTCTCAGCTTGCCTTGTGGGCAGCTCTGGGCTGTGACAATTTGCTAAGACTTTTACTTTCTGACTATCTTTGTTCATGATGCTGTTTGTGCCAGGCAGAAAAGGCTGTCTGCCCTCCTGAACACCCTGAATGTTCTCTACATCCTTATGGCTGCTCTCAGAGGCTGGTTGTTGGAGTGTCCCCTGTCCTCCCTTTTCTGCAGTTGAGGTAGAATGGAGAATGTCATCAAGAATGGGGACATCATTTATTCTTCCTACCTTGTCTCTATAAGGAACATTAGCACTTTCTCTCTGGTGCTTAGAGACACTAGATTTGTAATCCACCCCGGAAATGAGCTTATCTGGGGAGGAAAAGTTAGCATAAAAATGGAGGTTAAAGAGATCCTCCTTTTCATTAAAGATTTGAATAGATTTAATGACTTTGGGGGGAAGGCCATGCATCATGTTCATATGAAACTGTTTAATATGACCTTCTAATAGATCTTGTTTGCTGGTAGAAATGAAGGAAATCGGTTCAGAGGTATTCAGGCTTTGGTCCCCACCCAAAGATGGTGCCAAATCTCTGTGGGTCATTTGACTGTGGGATTTCTCAAAAAGAAACAATGTGTGCTTGATAAAATGCCATGAACTAGTCACAATGCTGGGCATTTGACCCTCACGGATTTCCTCAGATTTCTTGCTCAGATGTACTTCCAAGGCTTTTGCAATTTCTTTCCAATTTTGGCTCACTTTTGAGGTTCTTGAATTATTTTCTGAAAGACTCACCATGGGAATCTCTAGGTCTTTCTTAGAGTTGGATACTAGATTATTATCTGAAAATGTCTTTGATTCACTTGAGAGAGAATCATTTGCACCTTTCTCTGGACTCTGTTCCTGATCCTTCCCCACAGGCTTCCCTAGCAGAAGCATTTCTGAGCTCTTCCCATGAGAGCTGCCAGGGCAGCTCAATCCCCAAGCATCTATCTCTCTACTGCTCTGACTCTTAAACAAAGAGATACAGGAGAGTCCATAACTGCTCTTTGACTCATATGTCTCGGTAGTTTCTTTCTGAAGATTCATCTGTGACAGAGACTCTTGTACCCTGAGGGGCAGGCTTCCCTGGTGTTGGAGGAACCTTTTCTGAAAGTGGGCCCCTAGTTTCTGCTGAATGTCACTGATCAGGGGGAAATCTTTAGGAAGGATGGAACTTCGAACCTGGACCTTGGAGGACTGGCTGACTGACACAAGGCTGGGAGCTGAAGGACAGAAGTCTTTCTGAGAACTTTGGACCACAGAGGGTAAACCCCACACACTTTCCTGTTCTTTCTTCAACACGTTCCATTCCAGGTGGTCAATTTCAGAAGGCAAAAGAGACTGTACAACATACTGGGGCCTAATAAAACGTGCTCCACAGATCATAATCTGGGATTGAGAAGAAGGGGGCAGGATTTGATCTAGGCATTGAAAGTGGTCCTTCGACTGAACCTGAATGACACGTTTAGACTCAAATTGTGGCAGAGTTTGGGACATGGGGTGAGGTAAGATCTCAGCCATGGGCTGAGGTTGGTGATGAGGAATGATTGGCGCTTCTTCGGTTATGGAAGCCTTGGAGATTCCGTTGAGCACAAAGGTTGAGGAGCTGTCACCTGAGACAGGGACAGTAGGGTGTTTAGATTCCCTGTGCAGAGATGAGGTAGACTTTTTCTGTAAGGGATCCTCATCAGTCTTAAGATATGGGGACTGCTCAGGCACAGGCAGATGCTCTGGTTCGCCTTCACTGCTTAAAGGAGGGGAGGATGCTGAGTCCTGCTGAGCAGCAATGGACTCTGACATTTTCCCTGAAGGACTTACTTGGAAGTCTGGGCTAAGTCGTTTTGAGAAAGAGCCTGTTGTCTTCTCCTTCCCTTTCTGTATCAGGGCATTGCCTTTCTGTTGACTTTGTCTCCCTTCAGGGCTCAGAAAGGAAAGATTACGTGACTCTGCCATGTTGGCTGTAGTGGCCTTCTCAAAAGCGGCCTCAGAAGAATGGTGGGTAAGAAGCTCCTGCTTGAGTTCACTTTGTGCCAAGTTGGAGGAAAGTGAGCCTTTGGCAGGAGGTAAGGGCACTTGTGAAATTGTGACCCTTGACTGGTCAAGATCCCTTACTGCTGGGACAGAAGTGGGCAACCCTGCAGGGCCATCCACCTGAGAAAAAGTGACTCCTGGCTGGAGACCAGAATCGTCTTCTCTCTGAGTGTGATGTGGAGTGATTCTAGAGAAAGGGGATGGTGAGGATGGGAAACTGTCTGCTGGGAATTTGGCATCTAAGCGTGGCACAGGCTCTGGTGGTTCAGCCTCACTCAGTGGTGAGGGTGAAAGTGAATCAGGGGAGGGTGTGGTCAGACTAGGTGGCAGGTTGGAGGCTGGAGCTGGAGAAGGCTCAGACAGAGGGCCTGTAGTTAGATCTGCTGGAGGGCTTGATGATAGTGTGGAAGGCAGAAAGATGGATGACTCAGTCATAGACGTTGTGGAAACCAGTAGGGACACAGAGGGAGCAGCCTCCTCCATGGACACCTGGTCCAGCAGGCGATTGACCTCAGCCGTCGATCTGTTACACACCTCACAGAGGGGGTCTGGGCACAACAGCTGACGAAAGCGGATGGAATCATGATGCGGGCCCAGGGGGCTGCAGGAGACAGGAAATACAGAGCTGCAGCCGGGACCAGAGTGGGCAAAGCAGGGCCTGCTGGACTATGGGGTGGGCCACCTGAGCCTGATACCCTTTCACAGGGCCCCACACCATGACTTCACAATACACTCCCTGGCCCCTCCCCCCTGCCTTCATGCACAGTCCCATTCCTGTGGCTTTCCCCTCCCATGACAGCTGCAGACTGCTTTGGATCCCAGAAGTGCCTAGTAAATGCTAAAAAGGTGACCAGGAAGGAAGGGGATAGATTAATCACCTTTTCAGAATGGAAATCAGCTTCCTTTCCCCTTCTGCCTTTCTCCATCCAATTCTTCGACCTGGGAAATCAGGACAGTGGGTTATAAGAAATAAAAGTAGAAGTGTTTTGATCAGACAGGAGTCCCTTTGGAAAGAAGGAATGAAGGCAGGCAGGCAGGCAGGCGGGCAGGAATGAAACTTTAAAAGTCCTATGAATAAGTAGTTAGGGTCAAGTGATCAATGATAATATTGTCAAGGTTCACGTGTATCTGGTTTTTTTTCTAAAATCCTTTGGATACATGTTCTCATATGATATTCTATGTTACTCCTCAAACCACGGAGTTCAGTGGTTAGCTCAAAGATGAGTTTGAGCACTCATGAACTCAGAATACTTACATCAATCAGGAGGCAGAAATTTCGATACCAAACCCACCACTGGTCCTCTCCTCTCACATGGTGACCTATTGGCAGCCCAGGTCCAACGTGACTCCATGGCCAGACCAGGGACTCAGAGAAGTGTCTCAGATCTGACTGCCTTCCCATGAGTCTGTCTCATGGGCTATGTTTCTCAGAGGGATCATTTCTAGCAACTGACATCCTCAGAGGCCATGCACCTGGGACCTCATGGAAGGACAGGAAGGGTCACCTGGAGGATCTCAGGTCAAATAGAAAGAAACTTACCTCGAGACGTTTCACCTTTCCTTCTCCTCTTCACTCTGCCCTGACTCTGAGATGAAAGGGAAAAAAAAGTGAGGGACCAGGACTTACTCATTCACATCACTCCTCTCTCTAAAAGATCAGTTATTCATTATCTAAGAATAATATGGCTCTTCATGATAATTAATAATAAATCTTTCCTTTTATTAATTTTGAAAGGTCATATTTTTTTCTATTATTCTTTCTTTAGAAACTGAAGAAAATGTTTTATCTTAGAAATATACACTTGACATTATCATTTGGAAGTCCTCTGCTCAAGAGGACATAGAACCCGAAGCCAGTGGTCACCTCTGTTCTCCCTCAGAAGACCCTGTTTTCTGGGACAGAGGACAGGGCCCACCCTCTGCTCAGGGTCTTTCAATGCTCAGCATTGCTCTACTGATCAGCCCAACATGAAAGAAATCTTAGTCGACTAAGTGATGCCTGACATGGAATGTGACTCATGATCAAGACTGTTCCCTTCTGAGAATCCAACCCCTCCACTTAAGGCAACCCAGGACCTCAAGATCACTGTGATTGGGATTTTGTCCTGAACTCCTTGACCACACCAGATAGTCTCTGCACTTCAGATGGGAAACTTAGTCCTCACTTAGTCCCTAGTTCTGCCCAGGCTTCTCCTCAGAAATATATTCCCTCTTCTTCCCAGATTTCAATCTCAGGAGAACCTCCTGATCCAACCAAACTCATTTTAAAATGTAAAAATAGGCATGAGAAACAAAAACAACTACAGCATGTAATCTCTCGGTGGTTCATCCATTATGTCTTACCTTTTGGGTATGTTGACTTCTTCCAAGGGTTGATAGAAGTGATGCCAACACCAGATAGCACACATACAAAAGGAGCAACCCCAACACACTCAGAAAAGTGAGTTTGGGGTCAACAGCTAAGAACACTGAGCCCAAGCTCAGGCCTGGCTCAGTATAGCTCTTCAGATATGAGAGAATATTCTCCATTGTCTGAATCACAGGGATGCCTAAGGCAACCCAGCTCTGAGTTCAGGGTTTGACTACAGTTCCAGGCCTGCATCACAGAGCATGGAAGAGTCACAAAGGGTTTCTGAAGCTGAGGATGAGGACAACAGGGAAGGGTGTGTCCACAGCCCCTCCCCCATCCACCAGCCTAGCAGGCCCCTCCCCCTTGCTGTATCCCTTTTCCCAACTCCACCCTTTCTTCATATCATATGTTGACCTTTTCTTACTAACATCTTCTGTTTGTTCCAGTTGCATCCCAGATGTTACATGAGTCACCCTTTACTATTTGAGCATCATGACTTGAGCCCCACCAATTCCACTGTCTTGAAAGTCTGAAAAATTGCCTGGGATTTGCACTAGTACCCAGACGTTGACACTCTCAGGATCACATATGTCCCCAAATTGATTTTATGTACAAAATTTTTTCACCTTACAATATCCCCCTTATAAAACTTCATTTCCTTTCACTTACTCAGTTTTGTCAATGTTAAATTACATGGGTTTTTTGTTTTTGCTATAATCAGTCTTTACTGTCTTCAGAAGGTCAAGTGAAATAATTAAAACTAATCATTATTTAACCTTCACAGAACCAAAATGAAAATGAAATAATTATGTAGAATTGAAATTTCAAGCTTTCTTGAGGGTGATTTTATAGTAGTAATTCTCTTTTCTTTTTTAGGAGGATTTTTGCTGCCGGGTGCATGCACTCTACAGAGAGACAGAGAGACAGAATGGACTTTCTCTTCCCTTTTCTCGGGATTTTAGGCACACATGCCCACGAGCCCTGGGTGAGTTTAAAGTCATTAGGTCCAGGACTCTAACCACGGTTGACTACATGGGATCCCAGCGACATAGTCATTATGCCTGAAGTTACTGAAACTTAATCTGTTGAAAGACTTTTGGGACCTTCATCTGGCATAGTATTTAAGGCGGTTGGATCCCAGATGACCTACTGCATTGCTTTAGTCATGGATGAAATCTTTAAAAACACACCGAGTACATGTATGCATTTCCAAATCCCAGACAAGAGAGACAGATGGAGGAGAATTTATTGTAGTGTGACCATTCCCCATGGGTGTCGCTTTCTCACTTTACTTCTCTTTATTTTTCTCTTCTTCTCTCCACAGAGTGTACACATTCTCCAGCCAAATTTAAAAAGAAAAAAGAAAAGATGGAAAGAAACTAAGAAAGAAAGAAAAACAAGAGAAAGTCTCTATATTCACACACCTCCTTTGACAAATCAAGTCAGTATTTTCAAATTCAAGAATCACATTTTCTTTTTTTTCAATCTATCATTCATTATTTTGACCCTAATTCTTCTAACTCTACCATAAATACTTACTGTCTAAGCTTCTGCATCAAGTTTGTAACAGGTACATGACTCCCCCAAACCAGGGAAAGGTTAATGTGTGCCGAGGGATTGGTACCCCCACCCTTGGTGGCTCAGGTGACTGAGAAGTGTCAAAGCATCAGGACAGAATTGATCAGAGTACCTTTCCATTGAGTTATTGAACCTGTCTACTGTTTTCTATTGTCAGAAGAGATTCAAGAATACAAAGAATTAGCCAGTCCCTGGGGAATAGCACATATAGATACCACCAGCATAGAAGGGGAAAGATAGGAGAAAACATTTTTTAATGTTTCTTTATTGAATTCATGATCAAAAGAAACAGAGTCAGAGACAGAGAGATAACACCCCCAGCAAGATCTCTATGCTGAGATTTACCTTCAGCCTCAGGCAACCCAAGGGTACCCCTGTACAAACCATACTCAGGGAGTTTTCAGATACTAACATGGAATCCTTCCATGTTAATGAAAGATGCTCTGCAGAGCATCATATTTTACTGCATCACCATCTGCTCTCCTCCCATTAAATTTTTATAAATAAGCATCAGACATTCCTTACAGAAAGGGATCATGTGTTTTCATTTAGGAGAATAAGTATTTAAAATGCAAGTTAAATAAGTTAAAATGCAAATTACTAGGCTGGCCCCATAGTCTAGTGGTTAAGGGAGTCAGATCCCTCATGGCAGGCCATGGTTTAATATCTCGGCCCCGACTGCTTGAAAACATGTTACATGTGTCTATGCTTGTGCCCCAAACCTGACAGGATAGAGAAATGGAGGTGAAGGGATTGTGGTATGACCATATCTCCTTGGGGGATACTTTCTCCCTCTCTTACTTTCTGTTTCTCTTACTTTTCTCATGAGTAAATGTACCCTCTCACAATGAAAAAACAAAGGAAGGAAAGGAGGGAGGTAGGGAAGGAGAGGGTAAGGGAGAAAAGAGAAAGGAAGGAGGAAAGGAATGGAAGGAGGAAAGAAAATAGAAATTACCATTTAAGAATTTTTGAATACTAACACTGAATATGTTTACCATTTTTCTTTTAATTCTGTCCCCTGAGGTCAGTGATCGTAATCCTGATTGTTGGATCTATCTCCAGCAAATCACTTTGGTAGAAAAACGAAGAATAATTAAATTTGATTTGACTGTTTATACAATTAAAACGTTCAAAGAAAAGGTGCAACTGAGATTTAAAAAAAAAGTCCTCATTTTTTTTTTTTTTGGAGAGATTTTCACTGTAGGGGGCGTGCGCTCGCCAGACAGACAGAGAGAGACATAGAGACAGAAAGCGAGAAATCACCCCCCAGGGAGGAAGGTCACGCCGCAATCCCTTCTCCTCCATTCTCCTCTCAGGATCTTGAGCACGCACGCACACGCGCCCAGCGTGAGTTTTAAGCCTCCGGGTCCTGGACACGAACCGCGGTCGACTACGTGGGAGTCCAGCGACATAGCCATTATGCTAACTGCTGGTTCCCAAGTCCTCATTATTTTATGCAAATTTGTTGATTTGACTCTTACCTGTGCTCTACAGTCAGAACATCGAAAAGTAGATTGAACTTGTGTGTATGTGTAAATTCAGTACAATCCTGCTTATGGTTCATTTTATTTGTCAAGGTAACTGGGTCACAGGATGCCTAGCTACCTGGCTAAAACATCATGTCTGGGTGTGCCTGTGAGAGTGTTTCTGAAGGAGATTACCACTGGAACATGTTTCTTTCTGTACTTTCAGAACTCCTGGTTCTCAGGCCTCCAGAGTGAGACGAGAACCTCCATCATAGACTCTCTACCTCTTAGACCTTCAAACTACACCACCCAGTTTCTTGGGATTACAATTTGCAGACAGCCGGTTCTGGGACTTCTTAGGCTCCATCATTGTGTAAGCCAATGCCTTGTAATACATCTCTCTCCCTCTCTAGGGCACATGCATATGTATATATAGATATTGATATAGATTTCAATTTACTGTTTATTTTATTATATATATATATATATATAAATAATCATACACACACAAATATATAAATATATATTTTATGTATATAAAATCTCCTTCTGATTTTGTTTCTCTGGGCAACCCTGAGGAATATATGAATGCCCATAAAGATTTTGGTCAAATCCAATTAAAATTACAAGATCATTTTAGAGTATCTAACTAGGTTTTTAGGAAGATAAGAACAATCTGAAATCAGTTCTTAGGAAGAGAAGAATCAGTTTACCAAATCAGATAAGAATCAGTTTACCAAAGAAAATTGAAAATAAAATAGGTGTCTTGAGATGAGGCTAGCCACACTAAATCTAAATATTAAAATGTTTTATAAAGCTATGAAAATTAAAACAAGGTACTAGTGAAGGAAGAAAAATATATATATATATGACATAGAATAGATAGCTCTGAAGTTAATTTAGTTCCACATTAAGAATTTCCCTGTGACATCTCTAGAGAGAAAGAACAATTCATTAACTTGTATAAGAATAAGGAGATAGAAATTTAAGGGAAATAAAATTCATTTAATATTATCTTTCATGGTACATAGAAAAAAATAATTCCAGATCTATTAATAGGTTCAAATTTTTTAAGTACCCTTTTTAGATATCTACTCAAACATGATAATCGAAAGATCTGTGAACTTTAAAATATTTTAAAGGATGACTTCCTAAGCTAAAAGTCCTTTAAAGAAGTCATAAAATGAAAAACGTAATGGTCAGATTACAAAAAATGAAAACAATTATATTTGTTAAAAACTATAGCATGATGGGCAAACAGACTGAGTTGAGTGAAGCCAGCTGGGTCCCATATAACAGACTGCATAGTCTGAGTCTTGAACCTGGTGGCGTGGAAAACACACTGGGCATATGTGCGTACCTGACCAAAATCCCAGGAGAATGAAAGTGATGGTATTGTGGTCTGGTTATCACCTCTGGGAGGTAATTTCTCAGTTTTCTTCTCTCTCTGTCTGTCTCCAGCAAGCACATGTGCCCTATAGCAAAAGCTAACATACATATTCAGGCATTTGGGTGACATGGTGGTTAAGGTAGCTGGATCCTACCTGGCTGACTGGGCAGGTTGATTCCTAGACCTGGCAGCTTGAAAACACTTTGGGCATGTGTGTGTGCCCAAAATTCCAACAGGAGAAAGAGACAGAGGAAGGGATTGTGGCCTGACCATCCCCTATTGGGGGGGTGGGTGTGTGATGCTTTCTCAATTTCCCTGTTTCCCTGCTGTGAGCAATGTGCATGTCTGACACTACACATACATACATACATACACACACACACACACACACACACATCTACTATCCTCTCCCCTCCTTTACAGTCTCTGGTAACGACCCTTGTCCTCCCTACTATTATATCACTGGAGTTTTCCACTTCTGCCATAGAATGCAGACATTTTATATAAATGGAATGGGAATACACAGTGTTTGTCTTTCATTATTTCAATATTTCAGTTAGTCTTAAGTCTTCTTTATTTATCCACTCCAAATCAAATGCTGGGGTCCTACTGTTTCTATGGCTGAGTAGTTTTCCATGGCGTATGTGTTCCACATTTCTTCAATACGGTCATCAGTTTGGAGCACTTGGGTTGATTCCATGTCTTAGCAATTGTGAATAATGCTAAAATAAGCACGGATGTGTAGATATCTTTCCAACTGAGTATGTTCCTATCCCTTGTGTAA